AAAATAAATAACTAGAGAAGGCTGATTATAATCAGCTTGCTTCCATTTAGTGAGATAAGCCTACTCCTCACCTGAATTAGAAAAAAAGCTCTTCGTCTTCAGTGATGCGAAGACAACGTTTGAGCGTGTACACGCAATAGGGGGCCGGTGCCACCCCTGGCCACCACGTAGACACGCCCTTGCATGGGGCTGCACTACTTGTAGCATTAAACAGCCATTTTCTAGCATAAAAACGGTTATAGTTGAGTTTTAATTGTTGCTAGCTGGTTGCTAGGGTGTTCTGGATGGTTGGTTAAGTCAAATGTAAGTCTTCTGTGCAGTTTTTATATGATCTAGAAGCTTTGTTTGTTAATTTATTGGAAGAGGAAGTGTTTGAGGTCAAGGGTGCTTTGGATCATAATCCTGCGGGTTGAGATGTTTCTGGTTATCTGTATCTGTACTGACTGAACTGTAGGCGTATTCATGGTACTGTTGATGAAATGCTGTGACGTTATTATTGTTTCGGTCTAGTCAAATTCACTCATTTTAGGAGACAAAAGTCAAGAGCACAGACTTCCCAAGGATGCGGCTCATGGGCCGCAGTGTGCATTATCAGCAATCAGTATGTGTGCCGGATCTGCTGAGTGAGATGCAGGATAGACACAACACAAGAACCTGCTGTGCATAGACAGGGACGATAAGAGAATTCATTGCTCAGTAGTGCAGCATCTCTCATATGAGCCTATCAGAGATGAGATAACATCCCCGTGTGATAGTCTGTCCTCTGTGCACCATGCTTGTTTGTGTGCATGCATGTATGTGTATGCAATTATGTTGTATTTATGCACACACACATACATAAAGTTTTGTCAGTCATTTAGGTGTAGATCAGTGCACAGTTAGACCAGAAACAAACACTACGCAAGAATGCAAACACAGATGGGAATGTTTGGCCAATGCATTGCAAGCGTGTGGTCCTGTTGTACATACTTGCCATGTATCCCTATGTTACCGTGAAACCTCGGTACACAAAGCGGTTTAGTGTCTGTGCCAGTTAACCTAATATGTTATTAATAGAGATTGACTGATATATAAGTCTATTGGTAATTTTGCCCAATATTTACAATTTTCTAGTTATATACTTTTCAAAGGTCATTAAGATTTTTTTTTAAGAAATTGATACTTTTTATTCAGCAAGGATGCATTAAATTGATTAAAAGTGACAGTAAAGACATTTGTAATGTTACAGAAGATTTCTACTTCAAATTAATGCTGTTCTTTTGAACTTTTAAATTCAAAGAATCCTTAAAAATGTATCACATTATTAAATCAAATTTCTAACATCTGATACTTAAGCATAAAAATAATTTGTAGCAGTTGTAAAAGATCAGTATTGATATATATTGCTAATTATTATTCAGGTAGCTAGATATATACATCAGTAAAAAACTTTGAAAACTTACTAAGATTCTTTTCACACTGCACGTTGACAGAAAGCTTACTGTAGAAGACATCGTTGTATGCTAATGCTCACTAGAGTGCCCCCTGTTGCAACACTGAGAATGCGGCGTATACTCGTGTTGCAATATGAATTGTGACACATTTTCATTTCAGAATTCATTAATCTGTTAATTTGAGTTTGGGTTAGCTAGAAGCCTTTCCATTCACATTGCACTGAGGTTTGTTCCAGGGCCTTGCGCATGCACTTAAGTTCCTAGTGAGTGTAAGCATGCAATGTGGAGATTGCAACTTGAGCTCCATTGAAAGTCCATTCCACCAAAACTTGGATGCTTCAAAAAGTTTATATAGACATTGTAAAAGACCTTGGCACACTGAACATGACTCTTAAGAAGACTTGGATTATGTATTATGTACTTTTTGAAGTGTCACATTTTTTGTGTAATGGACTTTCAATAGAGGGACAGAAATCTCTTTAGGTGTATTAAAATATCTTCATTTGTGTTTAGAAGAAAAACGAAAGTCTTATGGGTTTGGAATGACATGAGGGTGAGTAAATGATGACAAGAGTTTTCATTTTTGGTGGACTAATCCTTTTGATGCAATGCGATGATGGAAAAGGTCATCGAAATATAAATATAAGGGTAATGAAAATGCACATTTAAATGTATTGTTTTATAAGTGGAATTGCAACATTTTATGATTAAGACAAAATTATGACACAAACCTGACATGTCATTATAAAAACACAATGCTCATGGATGGCACAGGATATTTAAAAAAAAAAACAATGTGAGCAATGACGCAGTAGCCAAAGACATCCATCTGCATGTGTATGACAGTGTTAGAGGAACTTCTCAAAGAGAGGTTTGTCTTACTACTATTGTTGAATTCACTAACAAACTAGTCAGTGTCCTTTTTACGGTATCCAGGTGTTGTCCAGTTGTCCAGTGTTCCTCAACATTTCAGTTCATTGTTCTCAAGATTAAACAACACCATTGCTCACAAGCAGTGCATCGTTGCAACAAAGTTGACATATGCCGATGTGCTTGCGCATGCACTTAAGTTCCTAGTGAGTGTAAGCATGCAATGTGGAGATGGCAACTTAAGCTATATAGCTAATTCCACTAGGGCTGCCACTAACGACTATTTTTATTTCGATTAATATATCGACTAATTTATCGATTAATCTACACGATTAATTTCCCACCAAAAAACAACAACAATTTTACTTAAGAATATTTTATTAAACCTAATTAAATCCTTTTTTTAAAGCAAAAGTTAAGTGCAACATAGAGTGCAAAAAGCAAGTGTCCATCTCATAGTCCAAATCACTGAAATCAAAGTTCAGTATTATAGTGTAAGAATGACAACATATCCACGTGTTCTAGTCTACTAATAATAAAATTATAATCAAAAAACCCTTTTTAAAGCAGTATTTAACAGAAATGTTATTTACCAGAATTTACTTAGGAGAAAAATGTAAATGTGCAGAATTTCTGTAAAAAAAAAAACAGGCTTTTTGATTAATAAAATTTAATCTAACCATTAAAACAGAGTATAGAAAAATGAAAATGGAAAAAAAACTGAATTTGAAAATAAAACGGATTTCATAGGGCCCTATAATTATAATTTTTTTTTTTTGTGGTAATAAAAATAGATGTAAGTGAACAATAGCCTTTAAAATTACTTAAAATACAGCATCAAAAGCAAGAAATCATATGGTTTATACAATGTATTATAAACAATAGAGCTAATGTACATTACGCATTACAATAAAGGCCTGCAGAGGGCGCCAACGGCCTGATGATAATCTTTAATATTTGGCCATTTCTTTAGGACAGAAATGCTATAGCCACTGTAATTAAATGAATATGTGGACATCAAAACGTGTAAACTCAGAGTGAGGGTTTGAGCTTTTATTTTGAAACCGCGATGTATTCTCCTGCGTTTGCGTAGATTTATAAACGATTTACCTTACAAATCTGATGAAATGGCGCATGTTGCGTTCCCAGATGAACGTTATAATAAGCCCAAACTCACAACAACATGCAGAGATTGAGTTTGAGCCGCTCCACACACATGTAAATGATAACAGTTCCTGTGGAGCTACTGTGAACGGCTAATTAAATCTACACTGAAAACTATTTGTTGGTGAAATAATTTTCACTCTCAAACTGCTAGTAAATTTAGCAAATAATTACAAAGAAACAGCAAGTAACACACTAAATTAAATTTGAAATTTTGAAGTAGAAAGACTAAAACAGTATTTTCTTGTAAGATATACTCCAATAATCTTTTTTTTTTTTTTTTTTTACAACTTTGAGATTTGAAATTTTAGTAGGTAAAAAAATTATTAAAGAAATGCGCCACTTCCGGTATTTTGCCGGTTAGTCGACGCGAGCAAAATGAAGTCAAGGATTTTTAAAAAATCGAATAGTCGAATAAAATCGACGAATCGCGACAGCCCTAAATTCCACTCTGCCTTTCTTGCATGACTTCCCCCAAAATTCCTTTCAGGTTCCTCCTCTTTAGATCCTCTCGCATGTTCTTTAATGTGTACAACACACACAAAAAGTCAAGCCATCACTATGTTAGAAAATGCAATGCAAGATCCCTGTTCTGCTTTTTGTCAGACTGGAGTTTTCTGTAGTTTTGTCTTAAAATAACAGAAGATCCACCCGACAGTGGAGAGTAGTAGCCTAGTTGTTTTTTTTACTGAGGCGATTGGTCACATTCCCATTGGACTGTTGGAGGCAAACAAATTTAATTGTTCCCTTCTGATTTGCTTCCCTGGATACGGCACACACTCACACACAAAAAGACTGATGTCACCTATGTGGCAAAAGAGAATGGGACTTTCTTAAAAAACTGTTCTGAAAGGCACATATGCTGAACTTCCTGTGTAAAATCCCTCGCAGACGTCATCTCTTTAGAGCGGTACAAAACAGCAAGCTGCACTTTTTTACTGTATGTCTGCACTGTGTATTCAATAGTGTGAATTTACATAAAAGAGTAGTCTTTAAAAGACTCAGACTGACAAGTGAAGGAGAGAAAGCCATCGATTGTGTGCTAGAAAGAACAAACGAGAGAAAAAGAGAGCCGAGAGAATAGTGAATAGGGCAATTACTTGTGGAGACACACTAAATGTAGGTCAAGACACGAGGGCCGCTTCCTCCACGCCAGTCGAGCAGTTAATCAGCTTTAGTTTTATTAAAACATAAAACATTTATTAAGACTTTGTCTGGACACCAGACAAAGTCTGTCTCAATCTGCTGGGTTTTGGTATTCATCACCATCAGCCCGGCAGACATTTACACTCAAGCTGGTGTAATCTCACACACACGGCCACACACTCAATAGCCGTCTCTGAGCACTTACTGTGATGACGTATTGCGTTCATAACATGCAGCCTCTAACGTATGTTCTTCTTCTGTTTCCCTCCCATCTGTTTTATTCTCCCTCACCCGTCTCGTTCATCCATCTTTCATTCGACCCCTGTCTCCCCTCCCCATCCTTCCTTCCCCTCTTTATCTCCTCTGCGTTTTCTGGCTGTCTTGCAGACAAGCATAGACTTCCTGTGGCAGGGTCTTGGTGTACCACCAGCAATAACGGTAGCATTCGTCGCACCTCCTCTTTGGACGCACTCACGGCCCCTTACCTGTCTGGACACTGGCCCCGGGATGCCAACCACGCCCCTTGTGCCCCTTGCATGAGGGACAAATCCACCCAGGTGAGTGGAACCGCTTGTACACAAGATGTTATTACCCAGTTTAGCAACAAGTTGTACATTGTCCAACACCTCCCGTCATTCAGCCATTCAGTTCTCTCAGAAAACTTTCCACTCCAACCTCTCCGACATCAAATGCCTACTTGCATAGACGCATGTTTTGCAAACTACCAGCATGAATCACCTGAGAAACACTTGCTTTGTGCAAACACAAACCCATGAAACCACTACAGACATGTCTTTTGTGTGCACTCGGCACCTGTGAGGCACAGTCGGCCTGAGTCTCGTGTAGTCAGACGTTTTGAATGTCAGTGTATTCACTTTGCAGCGTCAACTGGCTTAAATAGGAAAGACCATCTTAATTATGCACTACCGTTCAAAGGTTTGGGGTCACAATAGTTTTTAGTTAGTCAGACAGTAAAGGTTTTTTTTTTCTTTTAAAATTACTTTTATTAAGCAAGTATGCATTAAATTGATCAAAAGTGACAGTGAAGACATTTATAATTTTATAGTTTTATTTTATTAAAGATTATTGTTTAATCTTGATTTTCAAATAAAAGCTGTTCTTTTGAGCTTTCTGTTGATCAAGGAATCTTGAAAAAAACATCTATCGCTGTTTCCACAAAATGTTAATCAGCACAACTGTTTTTAACATTGATAATAATAAGAAATGCTTTTTGAGCAGCAAATCAGCATATTAGAATGATTTCTGAAGGATCATGTGACACTGAAGACTGGAGTAATGATGGTGAAAATTCAGCTTTGCCTTCACAGGAATAAATTACATTTTAAAATATATTCAAATACAAAACAATTCCTTTAAATTGTAATACATTTTCACTATATTTTTAGTTTACTAAATTTACTTAAATTTTTTATTTTGTGTCAAAAACAAACTATGCAATATGCATCAGTGTCTGACTATTGTGGGCCTGTAGTGCAACACTTATTGCTAAAGAAAATGCTCAACTGATCTGTCATATTTACTCACCCTCATTTCATTCTAAACCTGTGTGACTTTCTTGTTTCTGAAACACAAAAAGAAGGTTTTTTTAATGCCTCGGTGAAAGTCGTTAGGGGTCTGATGTTTTTGGCCAAAGTGAACTTTCATTGTATAGACAAAAACAGTTCCTCAAATTATCTTCTTTTATGTTCTAGAGAATAAATAAAGACATGCAGGCTTGAAACAACATGAGGGTGAGTAAATGATGACAGAATGTACATTTTGGGGTGAACTATCCCTTTAAGGCAAGATAAACGTAACACAGTGCTAGTCAAATAAACAAATATTACTATCAATCAGCCTGTGTTAAGCTTGAGTCATAGTTTGCCAGTAGAATAATGCTGTAATTGCACCAAAATAAATACAAACTTTATTAATGGATAAATGCAAAATAAACACCTCTCAAAACAAACCATCATTCTTTTACCTCTGGTGTGGTGAGTGCGTAGGCCACACAGATGTGTTCTCACATGCACACTCTTGCCTTTATTTGTCAGCAGCTATTAACATCTATTACTCTGGGATTTTAATGTTGTTTTTCCACAGGTCCAAACACAGACGTTAATTTAGCATTTTAAAAAAGAACTGACTTTAACTACAAAATAAGAGAAGTATAATGTGAAAGTTATTATACATGAAAAAAGGTAGTCTGGAGAGAGAGAGAGAGAGAGAGAGTGAAAAGGAGGAAGCCTCTCCCTGGTTTGTTGAGAGATGAGAGGAAACTGCAGCATATTTCTGGTGAAGGCAGACCGTCCACCATCAAGTTGCATTCTTTCCTGAAGCTGCCTGTTTTTTCCAGCTTATTTTTCCCCCCCAGAAACACCACAGGGCCAGTATGTATCTGAACATTAAAACGTTCACACTGAAAGTTTTGCACAGCAAAAAAAAATAATTTTCTTAATTATTTACTGCTGTTCTTTCGACAAATGAGTTATTGATTTGAGTCCGATATAATGACTGAAGAGGCATATATTAAAGAAGAAGTGACGTCAGAGGCATGGTGTTTATTTAGATCACTCAAACCCAGTCCCCACGTCATGAGAAAGAGCATCACAGATTGAAGAGGATCACACTCTTACCCTCTTTCATCAAAGCCTGAGCTTATGTGTGAGTCAGTGTGTGTGTGTGTGTGTGTGTGTGTGTGTGTGTTTTTCCTCTGGAGACCCCAGACCTCCACCCAGTTCTTTTTGTCAGCAGTGTGTCTGTCTCACAATGAGTGCAAAGGGAACTTAGCGAGTTGGAGGCGAGTGTGGAATTTGGCTGACATTTGCAGAGCTTGCTCTTTCTCCCTGGACCATCACGCCAAAATAACCAGATCTTGGATCCAAACAACGGTGTCAGTTGCCAAGGAGCTGAGCTCACACCTAGTGACCAAACAACAACATTGAATGAAGAAGGCCTTTGCTGCTCTCCCTGAGAAATATGCAGACACACACACACATGAATGCGCTCTGTGTGAATCTGTATACACCAGCTATAACAGATTTATAGCCAATACAGGATCAGCAGAGTGTGCGTTCTGTAACGTAGCAGTATTGTACTTCTATGGACTGCACGGCACAAGTGTTGAAGCTGCTAGATCCAGTGCTGTAGGTTATGTTTCATGCTTTGTCAGACGCCCTGAGAAAGTCATGGGAGGGGAAATAGAGACGAGTTCTACATGAGCCTTCTGCCACGGCGCATCATAATTACAATAATAAGAAAACCTGATCAGACACGCACGCTAAACTGTTCTCAAGAAGCCAGACCTGAAAACTTCCTCATTTAAGATAAATGAGTGCTGAAATTACATCAGCTCACACCCTTGGGGAAGAGGCCGGATCCTTGGAATGAAATTGATGAAACTTTTTTTTTCCTTTTTTTTTTTTACCATGTAGCAACATTTCTCATGGTTATAGACGGGCCCTCTGGGTGTCTGATGGAGAAAGGTTACTACTCATTTTTGAAGCTTACAAGGGGAAATGTGACTCTACAGAGGCATTTGTGAGAAAATACATTGTCATACTACTTTTAGTAGTGCTTGTTAGTGCTTGTTGTTATTACCGTTGCTCATAGGCAGAGTTGAACAAACCCTTTGGTACGTCACCTTTTGAGCTGCTAACAAGATTGATATCTCAAATAGTGTGACTTAGGGATAGAAATCATGAAGTATGTATTAATGCCAATACTTACCTTTTCCAAGTAGTGATTTTCTTTCTTTCTTTTTTTTAAATAAAGTAATATTTTAAAAATAAAGAAATAAAAATTAAAGCAATTCCATTGCCAAATGGTGAGATCATTTCAATTAATACATGCAAAACTTTTATCTTTAATAAGTCTTTACAATATTTAGCCTTAATGATATGTTAAATATCTATACTAAACAAAGAAATAATGTGAAAAGGAACTGACCATTTATGGAAATTAGGGATGTAACGATTACCGGTTTGACGATAAATCATGATAAAATTCCCCACGGTTAGTATTACCGTTTCATCTTTTAATTATCATTAAAAACGTACTAGAATACCGCGATTTGAACAACTCGCGATAAATAAATACTGTCCAGCATAAAGCACAGTTTTAAGTAACAGGCTCACGTGCGCACAGCAGCAGAGTAGTTTTGTTTTGAGTGAAAACAGGGCGGAAAAGCTGGGAGGTTTTAAAAGAGTGCTAAGGGAATTATACAAATGAATATATGAATTAATTAATTATATTAATGTACCTCTGAAGGTTCTGACTGTCTTCAGAAACGATTCGATGGCATTTTGTTATCATCTTTGCTCCATGTAATACCTAAAGGAAGTGATCTTAATCACAATACTGCTTTGTCCTCAGAGGTTACGAGAAACAGCTGTAATTCAGCTTTTCCATAAGCGCCACCTGCTGTCAGCAAGTGGATTTACAGAGACTTATATTTACATTCAGCCTGTGTGCATCATTTTATTTGTTGTTTGTTGATTTTTAAATATAAAACTTGGTGAATGATTTATGTGTCGGTACTTTTTGAACGTCTCCAGCACATCTTAACAATACCGTGATAATACTGAGAACCATGACAATTTTGGTCACTGTAATCGTGATAAGAAATTTTCATACCGTTACATCCCTAATGGAAATGATTGTCCATATTACTAGTATCTTACTTGTCTATGCCTTTGCGCTCACCTGTGCTGCTTTTTAATCGTTTATCTATGTAAAAATGCTCTAGATGTATGTATTTGCTTCTTTTTTTTTTTTTTTTTTTGCTTTTTCCCCATTTTTAAGATGCCATAAACAAGAGAGCGCTTTCCTGGTGTAACTGAGGTTTAATTCCACATTTTTAAGATGCCATGTCAAGTTAAAAGAAGCTCAGGTTTTGAAAACATGCCTCAAAACCCTGCATTCTTTTCCATTCTTCTGCACTTAGCCTCACATTTTTAAACTCAAGATTAGGCTACATTCTGTGTGAACAGCCCCTATGCAGATGTTCACACTGCAAGCCTTTGTGCTCAATTCTGATTTATTGTCCAGATCCGTTTTTTTTTTTTTTTTTTATCGTTTTTGTGTCCAGATCCGTTTTTTTTTTTTTTTTAATCAGATTTGAGTGTGAAGTGTTTATGGTCCTGAACTGAGCCACATGTGCAAAAGAACAACAACAAAGACACCACACAGCACCCTGTCATAGGGAACTGACACTGAAATCAGTGTTTACACATTCATTTATAAGCTGTTGTGCTGCGGAATCAAGTGAATTTGTGTGTAGCCAATAAGGAGGACACAGATGATGATGATGAGAACAAAGCTTTTGTAGTTTTCATAATTTCATTTGAAGTTTTGCTTGTGTAGAGCTGTCACCATAATGCACCTCACTGTCCCTTCACTGACTACAGTCCTGGCTGTCTTCCATATTAACTGAGTGACCAAAGAGCTTCCGCTATTTAAAATCTTTGGTGTGGCTCCTGTCAGTGCAGAATTGTGATAAATGTCAATCTAGAGTGACATAAAAGTTGCATTAATTACAATTTGACTTCCGATTGAG